AGCACAGGCCTATTCCCTTTTCTTTACTCTCTATTATAAAAGGAGCATGAGAAAGATGCAATTTTCAAAGAAACAGAACAGCTGAGAACACAGTGCCCTTTCATGGGACACTGGGTTTGGTGAAGGAGAGAAGTGAGAGGAAGCCAGACAGGAAGGGCTGCAAACAAAAAGCCTTCTGCAGTGGTGCAGGTAGTGTGGAGAGGGGTACCTTAAAGTACAGGGAATGAAATGGGTCCATTTAAGATGAGGTGAGGTGGAATCAGAATGAGATGGAATAAAATAAAAGATGTTTGAGAAAAACAAAGGCAGCAGACAGAGGGGAGTTAATTAGGGGCATGGGCAACAGGGAAGGAAACTGACAGTCTGACAAGCTACTTGCATCTGAAGGGAAATATCAAGCAGTTATGTACTTTAGAAAATTAGAGGAGTTAGGAAGAGGGGGTTTGAGACCTGGCCTCTCCCACTTGCCTTTCCCCGACATACACAAGCACAAACATAAATTGGTATGTTGGTAGTTTAATGCCACCACAAAGTCTCCCTCATGGGCTAGTGGAGGCTAAGAAGATGAAGTTCAGGCTGCTGATCCTTAGTTTTTCTTTCTCTTCTTTTCTCTAACTGCCTTTTCTTAATGTCAACACTGCTCCCTAAATCCCTTTTGCTTACTCTTCCCCTTCTGTTTCTCATATAGGAGGAGCGTGGATGAGGGCAGATTCAGGACATGAGAGTGGAGTATGAGAAAGAAAATTGGATTAAAACGATAAGTTGAAAGAGAAAAAAGTTTACTCCTTTTTAGTATATTTAGTATATGTGGAACTCAGGCTGGGACTAGCATGTAAAAGTACTATACAAAGAAAATGAAATGGAGTTAAGTGAACTTATGTGTTTATAGATCCTGTTGTGAGAACATAGAAGAAAATTACTCAGGAAAGTCTCGGCTTCTCCTGAGGAAGGTCCAAGAGAAAACAGCGTTTAAAGTCAAGTCAGACAGATGAGCATCAGACATCAGTAGGATCTTCCGGGTCTGATGCTTGTACAAAGGAAGCTCTGAATGCTCTTTCCTGGAGCCTTTCAGCATTAGAGACTTACCCAACTGTCAGGGCTGGAGGAAGAGGCTGCCCCTCCAGCAGTCTTCCCACTAGACAGACTCTGCCTGGGAAAGACTGGTCCTCCCAAGGGCCCTCACCATGGCCCCTTTCATTTCTTTATTTCGAAAACTGTAGATGATGGGGTTGCACATGGGGGTGATGACGGTGTAGAGGAGGGAGAGAGGCTTGTCTTTGTCAGGACCGTGTGTGCTGCGGGGGTTCATGTAAGAGAACATGGCTGAGGTATAGAAAAAGATGACCACAGTCAGATGGGAGGCACAAGTAGAGAAAGTCTTTCCCCGACCTGAGGAGGAGGCCCTGCCCAGGATGGAGGCCAGGATGCGGGCATAGGAGATGGCAATGAGCACCATGGGGCTGAGCAGCACCACAATGGCATCAGCAAAGATCACTCTCAGACTAAACTGGGGGTCTCCACAAGAGAGGG